TGCAAAGTCTCTGGTTGACGCTCATCAAGGCGCAGCTTGAAGCAGCAGCGCCTCATTAGGGTCTGAGGCGTGTGACGCGCTTAACAAGCAGTAGATACTGGAAAAGATGAACTTTAGCAGCTTGACTCACCAAATCAACCAATCAGAGAAGCTGATGTTGGAGCCTGCAGAGAGACGGTGCTGCTCATGCAGAGAAAGGGAACCGAACATCAGTGGTTCTTTATGTTAATGTCCTCTGGATGCTCTAAATAACATCGGCTAATGAGAGACTAAGCTGTGTGAAACATGTCGTTCAGATCCATGTTTACGAAGGCGAGATGCAGCGAGCTCAGGGTCAGCTGGAGGCGGAGATGCAGAACCTGGAGGAGGAGAAGAACCGTGTGATCGAGGAGGCCTTCATCAGAGCTGAGAGCGAGATGAAAGCCGTTCATGAGAACCTTGCAGGTCGGCTCCATCTGCTCACTTGATGTTGCTGTTGTGGAGTCTGTGCTTGCTGACAGGATGATGATGATGATGATGATGATGTGTGCAGGTGTGAGGATGAACCTGCTCAGCCTGCAGCCGGCTCTCAGGACTTTGACGTCGGACTATAACTGTCTGAAGAAGCAGGTTCAGGACTTCCCCTCCATGCTGGATAAAGCCATCTCTGAGGCCAAGCAGGAGGTGAGGGGCGCCGGCGCATCACAGAATCGCCTCCTGGCGGCGAGAAGCGAGGAAGAGGAGCACCAGTGGGCGGGTTCTGATGGCGTTTCTGCTCCACCTGTTTCCAGATCTGCCAGGTGATCAGTGATGTGAGCAGCACCAACCAGGAGCTGCTGCGGAAGTACAAGCGAGAGATGAACCTGAGGAAGAAGTGTCACAACGAGCTGGTCCGATTAAAAGGTTCGACAAAACCTTGGTGTCAGTTTAGAAAGGAAAAGCAAACCTAGATTAAAGGCGTGTCTAAACCAGAACCTAGGTCTGGTTTTAACTCAGTGAACCTGACTGATCCTCTGCAGTACCGGCTCTACCAAACTGACCCATCCTCTGTGTGTTCCAGGTAACATCCGGGTCTTCTGCCGGGTCCGACCCGTCAGTCAGGAGGAGCAGGACTCTGCAGATAACAGAACCATGCTGAGCTTTGACTCGGACGATGACGCCATCCTCTATCTGTCCAGCAAGGGGAAGATCATGACGTTTGAGCTGGACAAAGTCTTCCCGCCGCAGGCCTCACAGGAGGAGGTTAGTCCTGGAAACCATCCTCTCCCTGTTAGATTTACCTGAATCCGTCTCACCTGTGTGCCTGCTGTCTGATTGGTCCATCAGGTGTTCCAGGAGGTCCAGGCTCTGGTCACTTCCTGCATCGACGGCTTCAACGTCTGCATCTTCGCCTACGGACAGACGGGCTCAGGGAAAACCTACACCATGGAGGTATGAGGCGGATCAGAACCTTTAGTTATCCAGCTACAAACTAAGCTCTGATAGGAGGAGTCCTGTATGATGTCATACCTGTAAACCCGCCCCCTGTGTTCTCAGGGTGTGGCTGATAATCCAGGCATCAATCAGCGCGCGCTCCGCCTGCTGTTCTCGGAGGTGACGGAGAAAGCTCCGGACTGGGACTACAGGATCATCGTCAGCATGGTGGAGATCTACAACGAGACGCTACGGTGAGGAACCTGGTTCTGGATCCAGACTGGATCAGGACCAGAAGGTCTGGAGCAAATGTGTCTTCAATGCTGTGTCAGTGTTGCATTGTTCAAAAGACCAGACGGAAAAAACGGAACCAAAGTACCGATGGAAGCGCTGCAGTGAGAATCATCTGGGTTCATCTGAAGCAACGAGGCAAAACTTCTGACTGAAGCTTTGATTCAAATAACAGATTTTCATTTTCAGGTCGATATTCAGGCTCCTGGTAGAAAAGGAAAAGTTCGCTCAGCCAGGAATCACCAATGGATCATTAATTATACTTAAAACTAATACGTTAGTTTAATGAATTTTTTTGTTAATCAGTAAAAAAACTAAAATTATAATTTCCATGGGGATCTCTGAGTCTGGGAGCGGCCATCTTTTCCCAAATATAGTAGCCCCTCCCTCCTGCCATCTTCCAGCAGTGACGTCACGGTACGGTTAGCCTAGCGCCATTCATCCCGCTTTCCAAGCTAAATCAATGGGAACTACTAAAATGGATAAAATGATAAAAGAGACGTTATTCCAATGGAACAAGACAATTTACATTTAAAATAAGAAAACAGGATAGCATTGTCTTATTTCAAGTGCATAATATCTAATTAGCTTATTTTAAGAGTAAAAATACTCAATTCAGCGGCAAACTAACTCATTTAGCTGCTGAAATTAAGGTTAAATACACTAAATT